AATAAACTAGTTTTAATTAAGAAAGGACTTGTATCGCTGAAGTTCCTCGGAAAGAATTTTTACGGGAAATTAACAAACAACCAGATATGCAACAATACTTTTATTATTCTGTCGTTGGTGGTTTTATGTATTTACTCTAGTTTGTTTTTGAGAGCTATGTATATTTATACATGTTTGTCGTCAGTGGTTTTGTGTATATACTCTAGCTCGTTTTTGAGAGCTATGTATATTTATAATAGTCTGTTGTTGGTGGTTTTCAGTATTTATTCTAGCTTGTTTTTGAGGGTTATGTATATTTATACTGGTTTGTCGTGAGGATTTTATATATTTACTAGTAAAAAAAGCACGTAAAAAAGACGAAAATTATAGAATTTAACCAAAACGAATTTGTCTGTATCCAAAATGCACCTACTCTTCACTTATTTCATCAATCTAGAAGTAATTCTTGAATCACCACATTTTAAATAAAAACTACTTGGAAAAATTAAACTTTATCGTGAACAAAAAGTACGTGTGTACCTTGAAAGAAATTTAAATAGCACTCTTGAGCCTATTTAGTGTAGTCTAGGTCAGGAAGTAAAAAAAACAGTGCGGACATTCCGACACAATTTTTCAACTCTTTCGACTGTACAAAAGATAAAAGACATTTGGTAGTAAAAAACGTTTATTTTTCTTTATGTTTTAAGGCCAAGTAGGTAAGATATATATTAAAATACCAAAAGAATATTTATTAATTAACATTTATTCACCACTTGAAACTTCTTAAACACTGACTCTATAACGTCAGTAATAGTAGGCCTATTTGTTGTCTAATTTAATCTATAAACGTAACGTTAGGCTTAGCTGAAAGATTACATAGTAAATTTTATTTTGCTTTTGGCTACAACTCAGTGTCATAAAACTTCTGAATTAAACCAGGTCTCATCAAGTTGGCTGGCATACGACAGACGTAGTGGTTTAGGCATTTTATGCAAGTGAACCGTAATTAATATCAATATTTAAGTAATGATTGTTGTCAGTGTGTTTATCGAAAATATTCTACTTGCCAGAAACCGCAGTTCAGCAGACTCGGACTGATTTTATTGGGTATTTTAAATACTTTACTCTTGTGTAAAGTTTTATTTTTGTTGATCGTGTTAGGACTAATAATAAACTAGAAAAAGTTTAAAAGTTTAGTAAAACGTTATATGTATATAGAACTCTGCAGAGACAGGAAAAGATGAAAATAAAGAAGACAAGAGCACTGGTTAAAGTTGTCATTTTATATATAGAACTGTTGTTTACATCTTACTCCAAAAATATGTAGAGAACATAAATAGGTTCTTTAGCAATGCCGAACTTTAATGGTAGCTCGAGTTATTTCTACTCCGGCCTATCGTCTGCTGTGAGACCTGCTACTTAGCTACAAGGGAATATTGCTGTGCTCAGATGACTGGTGTAAACAGCTAATATACGAGGGATGGGGAGAGGTTAACTGGTATTTTATTTGCTGTTGGCCAACCATATTAGATCGCAAACAACAAATGTATGTACCAATTTTATTGAGGGTGTGGGAAACTAGATACCATTTCCTCCATTGTTCTGTAAACCCCATTGTAACAGTTCGGCGAAATGCGTAACTCAAATCATAGTTAACGACTGTGTACGGTACATGTTAGTATATTTACGCATACTTATAATTGCATCTACCTGTAGCTGTGCAACTCGAACAATAAGTAACGATCGGTATACGTTATATGACAGGACAAATCAAACTTTTAGGTGCAGATATTTAAACAATAAAAAGTTCTAAACTGAGCACATGAACCGTAAATGAATCGAAATATTATATCAGTTTCTAAGCTTCAGTTTTCTTGTTTTTCAATTGGCATGCCGTTTGAAACACTTGAATTTAGATTGACAGTTATTTACTCTGCTTATTTTTCTGAGAAACCGATTTAGAATATAAATATACACCATAAAATAAACACTTTAGTTTAAGCCTACTGCTGATGTTCTTTCGGGGTTGGTGGGCGTGTAGTTTATGCATATATATATATATATATATATATATGTGTGTGTGTGTGATAAGAAAATACTAACCATCTTAAATTCAGTGATACTATATCTTCAACATTCGCCATAAAACTAGAAGACTCATTGTATGTAGTTTAATGTGTAATAATATATTTGTATGTAGTTTAATTGTAACAGTATACTTCTATATAGTGTAATGTGTAACAATATATTTTTATGTCGTGTAATGTGTAACAATATATTTTTATGTCGTGTAATGTGTAACAATATACTTTTATATAGTGTATCGCGTAACAATATATTTGTATGTAGTGTAACGCGTAATAATATATTTTTACTTAATGTGTAACAATATACTTATATATAATGTAATTTGTAACAGTATGTTTGTATGTAGAGTAATTTGTAACAATATACTTGTATGTACTGTAACGTGTAACAATATACTTGTTTTCGTAGTAAAGCGCTCCATCTCACTGTCGAGCCGGTTAAGATTCTGATTGTGTTTCTCCGAATTATTATTATTTTGTTTTCATTCACTCTTTAGGAAAAGACATAATCGAAATAGCGTGATTTTATTTTCATTTCAAAAGCCTTTGTTTGATTTCCAATATAATAAGGATTGTTTTCATCTTTCAACGTTTGAGATGATGAATGGAATCTAAACGGTATTAGCAATACATGTTGGTAATGATCACTTACGTTGTCACTTCAAGAAATATTTTGTTTTGTTAAACCATGAACAATTGTTTGCATGTAAATAGATTCTAAATAAGTTATTTCTAATTATAGGAACGCCAGGAAAACCGTCTGAGAAGAAGGGAGGTCGGAAAGTCTTGGATTCCAGCATTAATCTAGTGAAGGTGAAGTCTGAAAACACTGAAAAACTGAAACAAGGTAGGACTAAATAAATAAATCACAATTGAAAAGTCAGATCGCTCGAAAACCACAAGACGTAGTATAGGTTTGTGCCTGTTTTACTAATTTGATAACGTTATACCAGAATACAAGCATTTTAATTTTCACTAGTTTCGTATGGCAGACTCGTAAAGTGGCTGGCTACGCATACACGTTTACGATCCTTTAATTGTACTACAAATATTATAATTAAATTATGTTTTTGTTTTTGAACTTACGGCTTTGAGGCTGATCTTGTTTTATTTCCGCTTCTTCGCTGTCCATTGTAAAGTATAGATAATGTTTAGATAATATATCTTACTGCAACTACTAGCGTAAAGAACTGTTTCCACGTGCCATTGTTACCGTGTGAGTAGCTGTGTTACCACATGCTATTGTTAACATATAAGTATCCGTGTTTCCACATGCCATTGTTACCGTATGAGTAGCTGTGTTCCACATGCTATTGTTAACATATAAGTATCCGTGTTTCCACATGCTATTGTTACCATATATGTATCCGTGTTTCCACATGCTATTGTTACCATATAAGTATCCGTGTTTCCACATGCTATTGTTACCATATATGTATCCGTGTTTCCACATGCTATTGTTACCATATAAGTAGCTATGTTCCACATGCTATTGTTACCCAACAAGTAGCTGTGTTTCTACATGCTATTGCTACGATATAAGTAGCTTCTCATCAGAAATAAGTAGATCAAGTGTCAAAACAACAGGTGTTTTAGTTGTAATACCTGATAAATTTCAGAATAAACCCATCTATTTATTAAGAAATTATTATCTCACGCATTTTTGAGCAAAATATATCACTTGAAGGTCGCACAAACATTTTAAAACAAAATACTATAGACATAACATCGATGAGGAATCACTAGTTTTATTAAATATCCCACATCCCCCCCCACCAAAAAAAAAACAACTGTGGCCAAAATCATATCGTCAAATCATATTAAATCTTCTTACCCCTTTCAAATGAGTGAAATAAGAAACTTAGGTTGATAAAACAGAAAAAAAGTATGTATCAAGATATCGCATCAATATAAATCAATACAAATTCAAGAAAACGTCTGTGTATTTACGTAGGGGCGAAATATGGAACTGGAAACTCGGGTGTTTATTTCAGGATATTAGCACATTCAGTTGTGTGTTTATTTCAGGATATTAGCACATTCAGTTGTGGTAGCATTTGCTTTCATGGTTCTCATTCTCTTTCTTAGGTTGTCATATAATTTCATTTTCTCACGCTCTCATTCTTAAGCCCCTTTTATTGTTGTCACTAATGTTGAAGTCGAAAAGCAATTACGTTTTTCCGTTTTCATTGAACCAGAAACACATTCTGCTAACCCAATCGAAAAAAGGCACGAGAAAACATAATTGTGATCTCAGAAACCCATTTCCAGTATTGAACAGCTTCGATAAATTCAATATTCATTGATTCAGAATGAGATGTTTAAAGGGTTCTCCGCTCTTTTTCCCTTTTGGAACAGTCCCAACCTGGCTAGGTAAATTTTGCAAAAAAAAAAAGAAAAGAAAAACGAAGAAGCAGTCTGAGGAATTGGCCACTGTATGACACTTAAGTATTAAAAGATTGATGTAATTGTAAGTGTCACTATCACAGGGAAAAAGTCCAAAGACACAGCTTTTATTTTCTTGATCTATATAACAACGCTTAGATCAATATTAATAGAATATATATTAAAGAAGCGTTAATTATCCGTGAGCTAAAACCCAATTTCAATCAAAACACAAGTATACGTTTTCTGGATGGAAATCCACAACTTTCTAACATTTCATACAATGGACGACAGATTGCCTGATGATGACCAGTGGTTAGTTGTTATAGAGCCCAAAAAATAAAATAATCCAATCAAAAGTTGTTCCCTGGACTTGTATTGAAATGGAAAATGTGTCTTAAGTTTAGACCCTGCTCCTATGTGGAACTTCTATGCTGATTGACGGATTTTAACTTGATTAGTTTAAAACAGTTGATCTGATTTCATGACCTCCAAAAAACTTGATTTCTGTATTAAGCCCATATAGAGACTGATTGTTAAGGAAAATACAGTTATAACTGACCCAGATCAATTTCTGAAACGTATGTAACAGACCTGACACAGTTGGGTTTAATTAAAGTTACTTATAATTGACGCTACTTCCGACTTGAGTTTGAGAAAGATTGGAGATTCTGATTACAAGATGCTAGTTGAATTAGTGGACTATTCTCTCGAAATCCTTAACATAAAATTATTTGAAGGATTCCGAGAGCATAGCCCACAAATTCAACTAGCATCTTGTGATAGGGATTTATCAGAGTTTATAACACATATTAATTTAAGTGAGATGAATCTCCAAAAAGCAGTACTGGCTCAGTAGAGAGTCAAAGGGTTCCCACTGTTCTAGAAAATATTTCTCACCATTCTTCAAAGAAAGCCATTTTGCTGGAATATCAAACACAAACTTGTGAGTTGGCACCTCAGTAAAAACTGAAACTCAGTAAACATGCTGTGGTTTTGCAATCAGATGTTACAGTTTGACGTACTTCTTCAAAACCATTTGATAGTTTCTTAAAGTTATTATACGCATAAAGTTAGGAATGATGACAAGCACAATTCACAATAATTACCCATGGATACTTGTTCTTAATAATTGTGGATATACTATGACTTATATCAGAGTATTTGTGGTATCTAAACAAATTCTTATCCAGTTATGAAGAGGAACGTGATTATTTTTATTATTTTATTCAGTTAACCTTTCAAAAATACTTTCTGGAGTATCATCTACTGAAATCAAACTTCTTCATTTGTAACTCTACAGTCATCAACAAAGATAACAAAAAAAACCACATGTTTCACAACAAACGTCTTCCTAGTTTCATCCAGCGTAATAGAGAAAAAATATTTAAAAAGATGACCACAAATATATTCTTGAAATATGGACCAAGGACTTGCTTCACAACATTAGTCACCTTCTTCTTCTGGTCAAGTCTGACTCAGGCATTGACTTTAATGGCTTTAGAAGGTCGTCTGACAAATACGTCATATTCTATTAAATATGCAAAAACTTGAGGCTTAATTTGGAAAAGTCAGGCTTTGCGTGGTTTTTTCTTTAAAATGAGATGTAATAAATGATATGAAATAATCAACCCTTTCCTATGAGCACAAGACAAGTTCCTTTTTGCAATATAGGCAGTGGGCCAAGCGTTTATTTAAAGATATAGCTTTTTTGTTTGAATTAGCCATGCTTTGAATTCTCTATCTCTTTCCCTGTCTTTTTTTTTTTAACGTATTTTTTCTTCATATTAGAAATTTCTTTGTCTTAGGTTTGGGAGTGGTAGATTCCATGTCACCCTCGTAATTGGTCGAGTCACGAACTTTATAATATAAACCAAAAACCATTCGTATGGAATGATAAGTTTATGTTTTTATATTAGGAAAAAACTGCAGAGCGAACTTCCGGCGTCTGATAATTTTTACTATCTTATGCAAATACTCATTCGCCGTCACTTATGTAACAGTTTTAAAAAAAAAGTCATATTTTGATTAAGAAACTAACACTTCACTAACATTTAAAAGAAAAAGAAGATTAAAGTATCATAGTCTATTCAAAACTACAGATGTGATGCAGATTCTGAAAAATGGGAAGAATGTGTAATAATTAACAGAGTGGTCAAGGAGCAGTATTTCTGTTGCTTGAATTGATGACCAGGATGTTACCAGCCTATACATATTATATGGCACGTGTCAGAATGTTGTTTTTTCGCAACTTTCTGGTAACTGACCTAAACACTTCATTGTTCCGAGTTATATCAATAAAGTTATGAATAGCTAAACGGATAATGTTCCATAAAGTAGGCTTAGCGTATGCTCAAAAACTCTTACACTTTAAACGGAAAGTAAATTAAAGTGAAAATCCGTGGTTGGGATTCTTAGGCTTTCTATCACGAGAATTTTCGGATATACTCAGAACTCTATAAAGATTGATAATGTAAAGACAAATTTTAATTCCGTATTTTACATTGAATCTCTGAATACAGCAAATAAGCCTAACATACGACAGAAGCACTTGAATCCCCAGGCGTTAATGTTGAACACTGTGTAACAATTATATCCTGAAGTCTTAATATTCGGACTTTTGCGTACTTCGTGGCCTAACGCATATACTGGTACCGCGCTTTCCAAGGCAAAATACTGTTTGAGACATATATATGGCTGTTTTTTGTTTGTTGTTAGCAGTATTCCCTAAGTTTTGCCAGAACAATAATATTTCTTACAGCAGAGGGAGAATAAAAAAAGGTAGAGATCAAAATGGTGGATAATAGCAATTCGACTAGACAGCGGGGATGGTGAAAAAGTCACCTTTGTTGTAGCCTTGAGTAGATTATTTATTTATTTGTGGATAAAAAATGTTGGATCTAGCATGGCTAGGTGGTCAGGGCGCTCGACTTGCAATCTGCGGGTCGCAGGTTCGAATCCCCGTCCCTTTCAGCCGTGACAGTCAGTCTCACTATTTGTTGGTAAGTAAAGAAGTAGCCCAAGAGTTGACGGTGGGTGGTGATGGCTATCTGCATTCCCTATAGTCTTTCATTGTTAAATTAGGGACAGCTAGCTCAGATAGCCCTTTTGTAGTTTTGCGCGAAATTCAAACGAAACCAAGAAATGTTGTCCAACTCGAATCCAATCGATACACTCACACGAAAACTAAACAGAAAGAAAAAAACACCTTTATTACCTACATCAAAATCTACAGAAACCAAGAACACGAACGCACATAAACACAAAATCAAGAAACACATAAAGAAATGAAACAAACAAAATCACAACACAAAAGTATCACAGCACAACAACCTGAAGAACATACAAACCAAATGTGCGAAGAACTAACAGCATGTCCAATAACAGAAGTAGCCAAAAATACATTCACGAAATCGAGACAACTCTATTACCCTGCTCATAACAATCATGAAAAAAAACACA